CCTTTGCGGCGGCGAGCTGCCTCACCCAGGCCAGGCTGGCCATCAGCTGCGCGGCGGCGCTCGCCTGCGCGGCTTGCGTCTCCCGCGCGCGCCCCGCCGCCAGAGCGGGCCGGGCGGGCGCCGCGGCTGCGGCCGTGGGCGCGACGGCGCGGGGGCCGGGCGCGCCGCCCATCGCATCGTCCACGCTCGCGGCCGCCGAGGCCACGTGCGCGGCCGCCAGGAGGGCGGAGCAGGCATCCGAGCCGTAGGCGGGGCCTCGCCGGGGTCCGGCCGCGGCGGGCCCCTGGCCTGCCGTCGCCAGGCTGGCGGTGCGCAGGGTGGTGGGCCGTGGCCGGTACTCGGGGGAGGAGAGGCCGTCCTCGTGCTCTGGCGGCGCGGCGCCGCGACGCCGGCCGCGCACGGGCGAGCCCCCGCGGGGCGCCGCGCCACCCTCCTCCTCATCGTCTGCGTCGGTGGGTGGGTGGTTGGGTGGAGAGGGCCTGCAACTGGTGTGCGGGGCGAGGCGCGGCAGCAGGCATGTGGCCCGACGCCAGCCCCAGGGACCAGGGATTGCCGTGCCGCCACCCACCCTGCCTCACCGTCAAAGGTGAGGTGTTTCTTCAGCGAGGCGTCGCCGCTGGAAGAAACCTTGGCGGGGGCGGAGGGGCGGTTGGCATGGCCACCCTGGCGCGCCTTGACCCTCAAGCTCGCGGGCGTCGACTGTGGGGGCACTGGGTGTGGTGTGTGGGGGGGGTGGGGGCTCGGTGATGTCGTGGGAGGTAGTCTACACACGACGTATCGATCATGCACGCAGTACCCTGCCCCGGCGTCGGGCGGCGCCACACGCACGCTCGGGACCCCCCCGGGAACCCTCCTGCTCACCTCCAGGGACTCCAGCTGGCACCAGCGCGCTCGGACCTGCTGCGCGGTGCGGCCTTCCATGAAGCGGCTGATGAAGCTCCAGCTGGCACCTGCTCGGAGACAGGTAAAAGGAGTTGGGGCGGGGGGGGGGGGGCGGGTCGGCAGGCAGGCCGACCCTGGATTTCCAGACCCCTTCCGCGGAATCACCGCGCGCAGCGATCAGCCGGCCCTGCTCCCTGCGCCACCCACCATGCTCGGCCACGAGCTCCCTCAGCTTCTCGTCCTCGGTGGGGTGCCAGCTGACACGGCGGACCGAGGGGTCCAGATGGCGCCGCCACCTCCCCATGCACTGCTGATCCGTTCTGCCCGGTAAACTGTGCACGGAAGAGGGGGAAGAGTGAGGTGTAGGGGAATGTGGCGCAGCTGAGGGGCCGGGGGGTTGGTGGGGTATGTGGGCTCATGCATGCTGGCTTCACACCGGCAGGGTGCATGTCAGGGGTCGGGTGGCTCTCATCCAGGCTAGCTGATAGGGGTGCAGCACGAGCCGTGCCGCCACCCTTCCCGAGCCCGGGCTCCCAACCAGGCAGCCTCAGCGACGCACTTGCGCGAGATCTCGGCCCAGCAGCTCCCATACTGCCGCACAAGGCTGGTGAGCTGGTTGTCTTCCGCTTCTGTCCACTTCTCCCTGGGGAGGACGAGGATGAGGGGAGCTAGGAAACCCACTCCAAAGGTGAAGGGTCAAAGACTGGCCCGTGGAGGAGGACACTGCGACACATAGCCATGGTCTTGCCCCAATGCCCTGAGGTGCCGAGGGGCCACCCCCATACCCCCCCCCCCAAAGAAAACCAACGCACTTGCTGATATTGGGGTTCACGCGATGGCGCCAGCGCTGCGCGCATTGCTGCCCGGTCTTGGTGCCGATGTGGCGAGCCACCTCGCTCCAGCGGTTTCCGTGGACCTCCTGCACATCGCGGAGCCCACGCAGAGTGTTAGCGACGAGGGAGGAAGGTGCAAGCGCTCCCGGACGCGCGCAGCGCCTCGACAGGACCCGCATGCAGACCGGAGTGACTCCAGGACCAGTCCCACCTGCCATTTCGCCAGGAGGAAATCTTCCTCTTCCGTCCACAGCCCCTGTGTCCCGGCGACAGACGGGTGGCGGTGGGTGAGCGGGACGGGCGCCAGTCGCGCCACGGAGACGAGATGGGCCCACCAAGGAGCCTGATTCGGGGCCAGTCGTGGAGATCGCGCATCCCCATGCCCTCCTACCTTGGCAGATGTCATGACGGGAGGCTCGTAGCTGCAGCGGCCAGTCCAGGCGTGCCTGCACAGCCGGCAGCCAGTTCAAAATATGAACCAGCTCAGGATGACCTCTGGACCGCCCGACACCCACTTCGGGTCAGGAACAAGAAGCGTCTTCCGCAGGAGGTGGGGTGCGGGGTCGAGCAGGTTTGGTGCAGCGTTCAAGTTTTGGCCGAGGTTCGACCCTGGAGAGTGGGTCCCTTTCACTTGTTACCCCAGGGACCTTCGCTGCGGATCCCTGGGATCTGCCGAGGTGTTGCCGCCCTGGAAGCATACGCTACATAACATAAGGATCAGGAATGCGAGGATTGCTTGTAACAGTCTTCCTGGGGGCATCTCTCTACCTGTTCGTACAACCTGCAATGACGGGACTCCTGGGTGAGTTGTCGTGCCCGCCTCCGAGACTCGATCAACTTGCGCCGTTCGGGACAAGATCACCGCTTGCTCAAATGAGAGTTTACCCACAGAACCGAAACCTTGGCACACTGGGGCTAGCTGCCGTGCCGTTCCCTCGGTCTCTTTTCTCAAGCTCGACGCGTTTGCCCTCCACACCGATAGGCGGATTCAGCTCCAAACCTGCCGGAGAGAACGACGCGCGCGTGAACCAGGCAGTCGATGTAGCAACCAAGGAGGTAGGATGATGGAGATGGGCGGCATGGGGCGGGGGTGCTGAATGTGAGCCATTGCATGGTTTCACTGGCAGGGACAGATCCATGCCACACCTTCCCATTCCGTACTCAGACCCATGCTGACCGCACCCACGCACAGATCAAAGGCAAGCACTCCTCCTCCACCTCGATCTCTGTGGAGTCTGTCGAGACTCAGGTATGATGAGGAAGGATAATTGTTCTCGCAAGGAACCGCGCAATTGGCAGGTTCCTGTGAACACCATCAAGTGCACGCTCCCTCTCCCTGTATCTCAAGGTCGTGGCTGGCACAAACTACAAGCTACGCCTGAAGGCGTCCGATGGCGACTCCCACACGCGCTACGAGGCGGTTGTCTATGGTGAGGGACCTCTGGCAGTGGTAAAAATCCTCCAGGGCAATGTTGTTTCACCAGTATTCTACCATTGCTTGCCTCTTCCCATGTCACCGGATTTTGCATGGACAATCTTCGCTCCAGCCATGCACATGTTGGTCTACATGCGTCGCACATGTTTTGTCCATGCATCTTGACCATGCACCCCGACCCGCCCATCCCTGCGCAGAGGAGCTGCCCCATGCCGGCGGCAAGTTTAGCCTGACAGATCTCAAGGCCATCGACAGCCCCGAGAAGGTGTAGTCTGCGCAAGGCTCTGGCCCCGCTTGCATAACCACCCTGTGCTCTGTGCCCGCAAGTGGCTGTGACTGACTATGTAAGACATGCTCTTCTGGGAATCATAGAAGAATGAGCTCGAGGCAGGGGGTGCTGGGGAGCAGGATTGCCTGGAAGGCCCATCGCCCTGTCCGCCATACCTCAACCCCTCCTCACCTCCATTTGAATCCAACCAGGACTCGGCGAGCTCAGGCTCGGGGGCCTCCGGGTCCAAGGAGGCAGCTACATTTGCTGTGCAGCAGATCTCCTCCCAGTCCAACTCGCTGATGCCCTTTGCACTCAAGGAGGTGTGCTGCAGATTGGGCCACGGGGTTAGTTGGGGTGGCTCCCCCGGCGTGGCGTGGCAGCTGCCCACCGACGGGGTTGAGGCTGCAGCGAGTCATGCTTTCATGGCTCCCATGTGGAAGGGGTAGATAGGGCCCAGCGTTTCAGCCCGTTCCCGGCCACAACCTTATGATAACCCCTCACAACCACAGATTGTGAAGTCTGAGGAGAGCAAGGAAGGCGGCATCACCCTGCACCGCCTCAAGCTGAAGCTAGGCCACACGTCCATGGACGATCAGACATACGATGTAGGAGGGGGGGGGTGGCTGACTGAGTGTGCAGGGGCTTCTGACCTTTGGGAGTGAAATTCAGGTCCAGCCTATGTCCTTACTGAATGTATCATCATCTACGCATCAGGTGGAAGTTGCATCCCAAGACAAGGGCTTTGAGCTTCGCAAGAGCCAGCCGACGTCATGATTGCACGGTTCCCCTCTGAGCATGCCTGGCCCCTGTACCTGCTCCTGTGTGTATCCTATAAAGGAATTAAAGCATATCAAGATCTTCATAAATGTCTGACAACCAGTCATCGGGGGCGCAGGAGAAGCGGCCCATGGGGGAGCAGAGCGCTAGATGTCACCCACTGTTGGGCTACCGGCGGGCGGGGTTCGACCAGCAGAGGTCTGGGACGGAGGGCATGCCCACTTTCGGACAGGCTGACAACGTTTCCCCTCCTGGTGCCATCAGAGTGCCAAGCAGAGTATGGATGGCTGAGCCCACGTGGCAGCAGATACCAGAGGAAAACTTGAAGGGGTGTGCAGGCAGGTGCCCTGGGAGCATGCAGGACCAGGAGGTGTGGCAGCCGCAAAGGAAGTTTTGGAGTACGATGTAGAATGGAGAGGGCAATGCCTGCCGTACGGAAGTCGTCGGGCGGTTCCGAGGAGGGTCCAGGGTCGAAACCAAAATAGCTTGGAAAAGGGTAGCAAATCACGCGCCAACATGAGAAAGGAACGGCGCCCATTCTGAGTCTGATGGATAGGGATGGGGACACATTGTTAGTGGGGAGCGTGCATGCACAGGGGGCTCATGCGTGGGAGGCTGCTCATGGGTAGGCTTGGGAAAACTGGGAGCTGGATGGAAGGGTGTGTGTGGTTGGAGTCCCCTCGAGCAGACCGGGAGCCCAGCGAATCCCCCACGGCACGGCCCCTGGCATGCAGAGCCTCGTCGACGGCAGAGGGTCTCGTGGCGCGATCTCCCAAGGCTTCGCGGCGCTGAGCGGGGAGGCAGGCCCCCCCCATGGCCACGCACGACGAGCAGGGGCTTCGAGGTGTGCGGCGGGCCGCCGCGCTCGGGGCGGCCCTGCCGACCGCAGCCGCGCTGCTCGCCCCAGTCTACCACTGGCAGACGGCGTCGGTGAACTGGAGGTCGCTGGGCAGGAAACAGGGCGCCGGGGCGGCGGCGGCGCAGTGCGTCGGCGGCTCGGCGGCGCCGGGGGGGGCGCCCGGCGCCGCCGGCCGGGCCTGGAAGGGGAAGGGCGGGTGGGCTCCGTGGGGACTCACCGGCACCCGGGCCTGGGCACAGAGGCCGGCCGGCCACACGGCATGGGGGTGCAGGCCGTGCGACCCCGGCGCGGGGCCCGCGGGGCCCCAGCCGGCGGCGCCCCAGCTCGCGGCGGCGTTGGCCGCGCCGGGCCAGGCGGGCGTGCCGCAGCTGGCGCCGCTGTCAGTAGAGGAGACGGAGTGGGAGCGTGCGATCATGTGGCCGACGGAGGCCGGGGTGCAGGCGTGCTGGCGGACGCGCGCCAGCGCGCGCCAGGGCTCGTCCTCGGGCTCCAGCGCCGCCGCCGGGGTGCGCGCCTCGGCGGCGGTCCCCCGCGCCACCTCCCGCAGCTCCTCCATGGAGTGGGCAAAGAAGCAGATGGCACGCGCGCAGCGCGCGCCCTCCTTGCACAGCTGCGTGCGGTACATGGTGGGGTGCAGCCAGCACTCGAACACGCCGTGCGAGAAGGAGCAGGCGTCGCCGCGCTTGCACGAGCCCTGCGGTGGAGAAGGAGGAGGGCGGGTTCGGTGGGGAGGGTGGCACCAGCTGTCGGCGCAGCCTTCAGGGAAGAAATGCGACCCACATCCCAGCCATACACACCTTGCGGAAGTCCGGGCACGGCACGCCCTGGTAGCAGTAGCGGCGCGGGTCGCGCCGCCGCGCTTTCTCGTCTGCGGGTCGGTGTGGAGGGGGAAGGGGGCGATCCAAGAGGGCACGAAGCGAGCAGGCGTGATCTGGGTTGGCGAGCAGCTCCAGTGCGCACGCCATCGAGGAAAACCTTCCCTCCTTCGTTCCCCCAATCTCAGGCTACTGTACCTGGATGGCCATAGGGGCAGTCGGTCCAGTCGTGCACCTCAGCTAGCCGGGGACACATGTCGATCTGGGGAGGGAGGGGGGGGAAAGGGCATGGGCGACCAGGCCCTTGCAGGTGAAGGGACGACCTGGGGTGCCTCTAGGCCACCGCGAAGGGTCCTTCAGTGCCCAACACTGATCCCAGGATACCATTCCCCACCCAAAACATATGCAATGCATCCCCGTCCGTACCTTGAATTGGTACATTCGGAACTCGTCGGTGCAGTAGCACTCCTTTGAAAGCTGGCTGACCCTCCTTCCGTCGGTTTCCTTTGGCGCGGGATTGGCCTGTCCCAGACATTAGGGATGAATCGGTTGCTGGTGGTAGGACATGGTGTTGCCGCATGACTGGCGCGCCCGCGGCGCCCCTGCAAAGCCGGCAACCCGTACCTGAACCTGCGTCAGGAGGTCCCCGGGCCGCTGCCCGGCAGCATTAAGGGCCTGCGTGTCGGCCCCCGCGGCAATGAGGGATGCGATGATACGGTGTGTACCGGGTCCTGGGCTGGCGCACGCATCGTGCAGGGGGGTGCAGAGGTCTGTGGGGGAGGGCAAGCGGGCCGCTTCCCGTGCCCCGGGCAGCACCAGCAAAGCCGCGACCACCCTAGCGGCCCCGCCCTGCGCGGCGAGGGCGAGCAGCGATCTGGCCTGGCACTGCTGTTGTGAGTCGAACCAGGCATAGAAGGGGGTCCCGGCGGTCGGGAGGCTCTCCAGCAGGCAGGGATTGTCGCACTCAAGCGCTGCACTCGCTTCGGGCGGCAAAGGGTGCAGGGGCCCCATCCTGGCCCGTGCTGGCCTGCACCAATACGAAAGTTCGGGTGCTAATGCGAAGGAAGGGATTGAGGCCGGAATACGAGGGCACAGGGTCTTCCTCAGGCAGCGTGCGGCACACGTCACTCCGGCCCGTACAAGATCTGGTGGCTCAACCCTCGAACCACGAGGCAAGACAGGCGGGAAGAGTCGGGTGGCCGCCTGGTGACACCAACGAAGACTTCCTTCGCTCCTCGATCATCAAGTAGATTGAAATGGATGTTCAGGCGGGGTGTCGGGGCCCCGCTTGCGTCGAAATGTTGCCCTTGATGGGGCCGGGACCCGATCGATCCGGTGACATGGATTCGGTCGAAAGGGCCACTGCTAGTACTACACAGAACGGGATACGCATGCTGATGAAGCAGTGCTATAATCTAAGGAGTGAGTCGACCCCTGCTTACTTTTCAGGGATACAGTCTGTGAGAAGCCATGATCGCGAATACCGCAATACAGTGCACAGTTTCCGGTTGGCATCATCACCAGAGACACGTCGAAGCGCAAACGCTGGGACCGACCGAGCCGACGGAAGGGGCGAAAACTCACAGTACTTCACTGGGAGTCGTGGGAAGCGATGCATTCAAACCGGCATGCCTCAATTCAATGCAATGGAGGCGGCCCGCCCACTCGGGATTCCTGTCCACTGAAGCCGCAGATCCGCTTGCCCAGGGCGCGGGGGGTTCAAACGGATTCGCTCGCCGGCTTCCCCCCCGTCCACGGGTCGAACACCACCTTCACCCAGCCCTCGAGCCGCTGCTCGAACGCTTCGTACGCCCGCACGCCGTCCAGAAGGGGCAGCCGGTGGGTGATGATTGCTGTGCTCTCCCCTAGCTCCCCCTTCGCAAGGGCCGGGAGGAGCTCCTCGAGACAGGACCTGCGGCGGTGGGTGGGGCAGTGGGACCCAGAATCACCGTGCCGGGTCGCACCCTGCTCGTTTGCGGCAACCCAGGCCGGCAATACCGTAACCTCAAGAGAATACGGCCTGCCACACGAGGACTCACCTCGCGGGGCACCTTCCGGAAGCCAGGGTGGCATTCTTGTTGTACAGATCAGCCGGGGTGAAAGGGAAGCCGGGGTCTGCGTGCAGCGCCAGGGCGGGGCCGGCCTGAGTCAGTCTGTGCCCATGCACGCCTGTTTGCTACCCGCAGGGCACCTTTGCTTGCACTCTCGCTCCGCCACGCGTCTGCACAGCGGAGGGTGGGAGCCGGGGCACACCGGCAGAGGCGCAGGTGTGCCCCGTCCAGCGCACCCCTCAACCCCCCCCCCCCAAAAAAGAGCCCTTCCCATCCTCGCCCTTCCTCGCCTGTGTGGCAGCCGACGCTGGAAACGACGCCCCCGGGCTTCAGGAGGTCCAGGGCCAGGCCCAGGGCCGGCCCGGCACCGACGACCTCCAGCACCACATCCGCGCCCTGCCCCCCCGTGGCCTCCCTGCAGTCGGTGGTGGGAGGTGGGGAGGGGAAGGGATGGGTGAGGGCAGCGCGGACCGCAATGCTGATCGGTCGATTTCGCCGGGCATGCGCTGCCGCCCGTGCTGCCCCCGGCGCCCCTCCACAACCCCCACCCCACCCTTACCTGACCGCGACGATGGGATCGCACTCGGCGCTGTTCACCGGGGTCGCACCCAGCCTGCCCGCCAGGGCCAGCCGGCCGGGCACGCTGTCGATGGCCAGCACGGCGCGCACAGCGGGGAAGCGCCCGGCGGCGGTCGCGGCCAGCAGGCCGACTGGCCCGCAGCCTACCACGGCCACCACCACGCCTGTGCATGGGGGAGGGATGGTGGTGAAGAATGGCTGCAGGCGTGGACCACCTAACGAAGGATGCCCCGCCCGCAGTCGGACGCATGGCAGGTCGTGGTCCCCACAGCCTTGCCCAGCTTCAGCCACCTGGTGCGGCACGGGCGAGCCCGGCGTTGCGCGCGCAAAAGTAGCCCGTGCTGAGGATGTCCCCGGCCAGCAGCGCCGCCTCGTCGCCGACCCCCGGAGGGATGCGCACCAGGGTCGACGCCGCGAGAGGCACCCTGGGAAGGATTGCGATGCGCGGTGTGGGAGCCTCTCGCTCCAAAGGTCTTTGGCAGGCTGGGAGACGACGCGCTGGGGCTGGGCGGGCATGCAGTCTCGCCCGCAGGCCACACCTGCGCCCAGAATGGTAATCTCACCTGATGAATTGCGCCTGGGCGCCGTGCAGGCCCTGCCCATTCAGCCTCCAGCCGAAGAGCTGGCCGGCATCGCAGCGGCAGGTCAGGCCCGAGGCGCAGGGGGCGCACACGCCGCAGCTGGTGGTGAAGGGGCTCATCACCCTCGTCCCCGGGGTCAGAGTCGTGACGGCGGGGCCTGTGCGGCAGGGGGGAAAGGGATGAGGGATGGAAGGAATGAAGGTTCAGGGGGCTGGGTATGGTCTGCATTGCAACACTGGGGCGTGCGTGCTGCAGTGCCTGCTCCGTCGCTGCTGGCCGTACTCTCATTGGACCGTCCATGTCACCAGCCACTCCGCCCTTCAGATCGGTCTTCGTCCCTATGAGGACTCCAGTTCCCACAAGTAACTTACCGACCTCGACCACAGTGCCCACGAATTCATGTCCCATGATGGTTCCCCCATCGGTGGCCTCCTTGCCACGGAAGGGGTGGAGGTCACTGCCGCACAGGCCTGCCAGCTCCACCCTCACGATGGCATCCGTGCCGGCCGCGATGCGGGGCACAGGGCATCTCTGCACCTCTATATGGTAAGGAGATTGCAAAACAAGCGCGTCCATCTGCCCCGAGGCAGGCGGCCAGGCGGTGTCGATGGCGGTACACATGGTGGGTGGCCGCGGCACAGGATGCGGAGCGGTCCCACCGCAAGTCAACAATAACAGGCGACACAGATATCCAGTGACACACGTTCTAGCGGAATTGCATGCGTGCTGATCCTGCTATTCTCATGCCTGCCAATATCGAGGGCGTAGATGCGATGGCATGTCGGAGCCACGATCACCGCGCGCGAAGATCGGCACAGGCCATGCCTCTCAGTGATGTGGTGATCGCAGACCCTCCTGTGCGCTGTTGGGGCGTGTGTTATCCGTAAATTATAGGTAGATTGCATTTCAAGGATTCTGGTCGAGTAACTTCGGTCAGTGGAGCTGCAAGGGGTCCACCTCCCAAAGGGACCCTTCATCATGCCCCATCATGAACTCTCTGGCTGGTGCGGGAAGCATGCCGGCCATGGCATTCTGGATGCTGGGTCTTTTGACTCTTGCTATTTGCTAACAGCCGTGGGGCCGGCGCTGCTGCTGCTGGCGACGGTGACGCTGGGAATACAGGGCCTCAGGCTCCATCGCCTCCGCGCCGTCACTCGCACATGGCGCCCGCCCGGCTCCCACACCCATGTGCAAGCCGTTCTTGCTGGCATCATGGCAGGACTGCACCTGGCAGCGTTCTTGATCTTCGCAACGCAGGCACGCTGCGGGGTTGCATGAATGAGGGGAGGATGGGAGGGCAATGCAGTAGGAGGAGAGCGGCAGGAGCGGAAATGTCTATCTCTTAGCCCGCAATAGCCAAAGACTTCCCTGAGTCTCATACGCCCCTGTTTCACATCTGCAGTACGTCAAGGTGCCCTACCTCATCGGCTCTTTTGCGGTGCTCACCGTCGCTTGGGCCGTCATCCTGGTGAGGCAGCTGTGGGCCAGGGCACATGCAAAGCCATGCGCGGCATCCTTTGTGCCTCAGCCTTGCACAGGCTGCATGGCTTGTGAAAATTTCGCGCCGTGCCATGCATGTCGCTCCTGTTTCAAGAGAGCATGCCCCATGCCTGGTCCTCTTCACCAGCTTGCACAGCATCGCACCCCCGCACACCCAACAGACCCTCCTGCTGCTGAGCATGCGCTGGCGCGTCCAGGCACGGCTGAAGCCCCTGGCTGCCGGGGTCGCGGCCCTGTACGCCCTGCTGGCCTACAGCGCCGGGCAGTATGCGTGGCATGGCCGGGGCCGGACCCCATTTGAGTCACGCTCTGCCCTGGCAGTGGCGCTGGGGACCTTCCTGGGGGCAGCCTGGTTTGCCTCGGCGGAGACCCGCAAGTGGGTTTGGTGGGGGCATCGGGGCGGGCTGGGGCGAGATTCGAGGTCCTTGGGGAAGGACGGCTCACTGGGCATGGCCACCCACTGCGGGGTCATGGGCTCCTGATGTGATCCGGCCACGTGAAGCCTCCAATGTGCCGGCCTGGGGCTTTTGAGCGCACACTGCCCTCAAGGATCCAGCCACTGCTCGTCTGCCAGTGCCATCAAAGCCTCGGGTCTCTTTGATCCCGGCGCCTACACTCAAACCCCGCCAGGTTTGTCGACCCCGCCGAGGACGAGGCGCTGATGGAGTCATTGCTGGGGGACGTGGAGGCGCCCGTGGGGGCCTCCACGCACTGGACCCTGGCGTCCAAGAACCGAAAGCACAGCTGGGTTTCGCTGCTGGCAATCGCGGCCAAGTACATGTGGCCCGAGGATGTCTGGCTCCAGGTGGGCGGGATGTCCTGCCCAGGGCCGGGATGACTCGGTCAGGTTGGTGGGACATGGAGGGGAGTGCGTACCCATACCCCGTGACTGGGGCGACTCTGAAACATGGGAGCAAGGCCCTCCCTGGTTGTGCAATGAGCTCACTTGCCCACTGTCTGGGTGTGCATGCCTCGCTTCCTCCACCGAAAGAAACCCTCTGAAGAACCTGGCACCCGCCTCCCTGTCCACCCTCACAGGTGCGCGCGTCGGTCTGCGTCCTGCTGGTGGTGGCCATCCGCCTCCTCAACCTGGCAGTGCCCTTCCTTTATAAAAAGGTGATGAGGGTGGAAAGAAGGGAGGATCAAGGGTGGGGCAAGAGGGCTGTAAGGTGGCATGCCTGTATGGTGCGACCCTCAGTCCCCGGCAAGAAGCTAGGAATGATTGTGTGCCCTCACAGCCATACACGCCTGCATCGCCTGTATCGCCCCCGCCCTTTCCTCCGCCCCCTGCGTCAGGTCGTGGACGAGTTTGCGGCGTTCTCGGCCCGGACGCATGCGCAGCCGCCCACCCACTACACGTTCTGGGAGGTGAGGCACCGAGGATGGAGTGCTGGGGCTTGATTGTGCCGGTTCAGATGGGTGGGGTCCCAATCGGTAAGGGCTGGGGGATTGTGTACGCTCGCCTTTGGCCCGGTGCTCTTGTTCCAAGGGGCTTTTTATGGCTGGCGCTGCCCGGCCATGTGGCTCTTGGTGGAACCCACCGTTTCCCCACCGCACCCCCCCTCGACCTCCCACACCCACTCGCAACAGACATTCTATCCGTACGTCGCGGCTTACATCGTCGTCTACTTTTTCCAGGGCGGGGCCGGCGGTGGGTCGGTGGGCATCATCAGCAACCTGCGCTCCTTCCTCTGGATCCCCATCTCCCAGAACAGCTACAGGTCTGAACTGGTTCTCGAACGGAGGCAGCGTCTTTGGCATTGCAGGGTGGTCCATCATCACAGTTCAGGCCCTAGATGGGGCACTGGCGTCCTCGTCCAACATCCCTCTGCCGTGTCTGGGCCTGGCCCCACCCCTGTGCCTGGCCCCCTCACGCCACGCCTCCCCACCGCGCCGCTCCCTCCTTCCTCAGGCGCGCCACCCTGGACATCTTCACGCACGTGCTGGACATGGACCTCACTTTCCACCTGCACCGCAAGACGGGGGAGCTGCTGCGCATCATGGACCGCGGTGAGGGCCGAGGGGTAGGGGGCCCTGCTGAAGGCGGGAGGATGCGGAGGCCATGCGCGTGAAGCCCCCAAGATCGCTCGACTTGACCTGCAACCGGCAAGCTGCAGAGGACCAGTGCGCGACTCAGGGGAGCCCCCTGCCATCTTTGACCACTCCACCGCCACACCTGTCCGGGCTCCCACACACCTCCCCAAACAAACACACCCCACCACCCAGGCACGAACTCGATCCAGACCATGCTGAGCACGGTGGTGTTCTCCATCGGCCCCTCCATCTTCGACATCGCGGCCGCCAGCATCTACATCGCCCTGTCCCTCAAGTTCTGGATCGCCATCATCGTCTTTGTCACCCTGGGCGGCTACATCCCCGTCACCATCTACCTCACCATGTGGCGCGGCAAGTTCCGGCGCGAGCTCAACCGCCTGGACAACGCGGTGCGGGCCAAGGCCGCCGACGCGCTGCTCAACTACGAGACGGTCAAGTACTTTGGGAACGAGGGGTTCGAGCGCGCTACCTTTGCGCGCGCCATCGACGACTTCCAGGTGGAGGACTTCAGGCTGCAGGCCTCCCTGAACCTGGTCAACGTCGCGCAGTCCTTCATGATCTTCGCCGGCCTGGCGGCGGGGCTCCTGGTCTGCACCCAGGTGTGGCTGGGGCTGGTCTGTTGTTTGAGGGGGGAGGTGAGGGTAGGGGGGTTGGCCGGGGGGGGGAACACCCGGAGTGTGAGAGTGTGTGTGATCACGAAGGGACCACTCCGGGATGCGGGGCTGCACAGCTGTGGGCAGGACTGGAATGGGGGGCTCTTCATAGAGGCAACGGGCTTGACCCCCGATGTGGCTGCGTGTGAGATTTCTGGGTACCCTTGGGAGCGCACGTCCAAAAAGCGCCCTTCCCCCGGCGCTGCGCTGCCCTGACCCACCCTGGAGCACCTGCGCTCTGCACAGGGCATTGCCGATGGCAGCCTGTCTGTGGGAGACGCCGTCCTTTTTGTCACGTGAGGACCAGGGTGTGTGGCGGGGTGGTCGTGCCCCGGACTTGTACTCGCGCAAACCCGCGATCTGGGCATGCAGGCAGAGGGGTTTCATTGCACTGTGTTCATCCAAACAGCATCCTCCGGTGTCTGGTAAGAGCTTCCTTCTGCCTGGTCCTTGCGCGCTGAGCCAAACAGGAATTTCCTGGTCAAGTACCTGAATGCATGTCATCCGTACCCCCCCCCCTCCCCTTTGTTCATCCTCCTCGCCATGACAGGCTGATGCAGCAGCTGTACGCGCCGCTCAACTTCTTTGGGACCTACTACCGAGTGATCCAGCAGTCCATGATCGACATGGTGAGGGCGGCTTGGAGGAGAAGAGATGGAGCGCTGGGTGGCTTGAGGGTTCAGGGCTCTCCATAGCTGACACAGAAGCATCCGGCCAATGCAGGCCTGCCCCCTGCCCTCCTGTCAGGCCTCGTACTCCACTTCAACCCTCCAAACCCACCTGCCCGCACCGCAGGAGAACATGTTTGAGCTGCTGGCCAAGCAGCCCAGCATCAACGACTCGCCAGGCGCCACCGACCTGGCTGTGACTCAGCACGACGTCAGCTTCAAGGACGTGTCCTTTGAGGTGGGTATGGATGGAGCGGCGAGATGCGAGGCGGTCTGTGGGTGTCGCGCAGGGCGGAGCTGCCCTCCGACGCAGCCTGGGTAGTCTTTCTGGCGCTGCATCACCCGCATCGACATCATACTCCCCGGGCTTCTCCTCACACCCTTCCTCCCCCCACTCCCAATCATACCCCTGGCCGCAGTACCATGCGGGGACCCGGGTGCTGAGCAACGTCAGCTTTGCCATCCCCGCCGGTAAGACGGTGGCCCTGGTGGGGGCCACCGGCTCCGGCAAGTCCACCATTCTGCGTCTGCTCTTCCGCTTCTACGACCCCTCCGCTGGTGAGGCTGGGGAGGGTGTGGGACCAGGCTCTGTGCCTGTTGGGTCCAGAACGGTTTGGCCCAAGCAGGGGCCGCCTGCGCCCTTCCTGAACCAGTAAGAATAGAGTCATTCAAGGCCGAGCCACTGTGTTTTACCCACGTGGCCCCATGTGTTTGTCAGAATGACTAGAGGACGAGATGACAGACCCAGTCCTGGAACCCCCCCCAATCTCCTCCCCCCCAGGCGGCATCTATGTCGGGGGCAAGGACATCTCGCATGTGACCCAGGCGTCGTTGCGTGCCGTCATCGGCGTGGTGCCACAGGACACCGTGCTCTTCAACGATACAGTGCGATACAACATTGCGTACGCGCGCCCCGACGCCAGCCAGGAGGACATCGAGGCCGCCGCGTCCGCGGCCTGCATTGACGAGGTGATCAAGACCAAGTTCCCCATGGTGCGTACGGTTAGGAAATGGGGGTTGTTGGATTTGGGGGTTGTTGGATTTGGGGGATGTTGGATTTGGGGTTTGTTGGGATTGGGGTGGGGGGGGTGGGGGGGGAGGAGATGAGGTGGGGGTGTTGAGCATCAGAAGGAGGGGGTTGGGAGGGGAGCGAGGGGGATTCAATCCGAGCTGAAAGTGAGCAGCGGCTATGCAGTTACATCCGAACATGAGCAGAGACTCGGTTGCCTCTCCAGGACCCGGTTTGCCATCCAATGGGCTGGGGGAGTGTCGCCCCTTCTTCCTGCTGCACCCTCTCCCGGCACACCTGTCTCCCAGCCCTCCCTTCCCATCTTCCTCTCTCCAACATCCACCGCACTCAATAACACAGGGCTACGACACGGTGGTCGGGGAGCGGGGCCTGCGACTGAGCGGCGGGGAGAAGCAGCGCGTGGCATTCGCGCGCGCCATCCTGAAGAACCCTGCCATCCTGGTGCTGGACGAGGCAACGTCCTCGCTGGACGGGCTGACGGAGGCGCGCATCCAGGCCAGCCTGGCGGCCCAGCGCGCGGACCGCAGCGTGCTCATCGTGGCACACCGCCTGTCCACGGTGGCCGACGCCGACGCCATCGTGGTACTGGCGGAGGGGCAGGTGGTGGAGCGCGGCAGCCATGCGCAGCTGCTGGAGTGCGGCGGCCTGTACGCGCGCATGTGGCGGCGCCAGGCTGAAGCCGCCGCGCACGGCGAGGAGGAGGGGGGGGCGCCTCGCTCGGGCCCGGTCTCCGCCTCGACCTCGGGCGAGCCGCTGAGTGCGCTGGGGAATGGCGCGCTGCCGGGGCCACCTGCGCTGTGATCGATGGGAGGGTGCTGGCTGTGCTGTGGTGCACCGATTCGCCCTCCAACGCTGCCTCGTGAGGCGCCGACCGACCATGACGGGGACGGGCGAGCTGGCGGGGAGCACAGCACTCTGAGCGGCGGCTGTGCCGGCCACCAGCGCCCCCGCCCCCTGCTCCCCCCTTTGAAGACCGCCATGCAGGCCGCCCGTCCACTCCCTCTTTGGCGTCGGGGTCGATTCACAGAGCATCCCATCGGGGCGCATTGTAACGCTTGCAGCTTGTCACTCGGCGCGGGGGCCGTCATTCGCATCCGCCGCCTTCCTGCCCTTCTTCTCGCGGGGTAACCGCATGCCGGGCAGCACCGGCTCCGCCTCCGACCCGTGTGTGATGGGGGGGACCGTCATCTCTGTGGAGCAGATGATGTTGCGGGAGCTGGACTACCGCACACCTGGCCGGCAGGAGGTTGCACTGGCCTGTTGGAGCACCAGGCACTCCCAGGAGGGCTGCGTGCAGGCGGCACCACTACACACGCGTCTCCCAACCCCAACCCACCCAGGTTCCCACGCTCATTGGTTGCGGCCTGCACCACGTGGGTTGTGATGAACTCGGCAGCCTCGCTGGCGTCGTGCTGGAGCTTGGCCAGGGTCTCTGGGTCCCGCTCTCCACGGGACTCCTACAAGGGGCAATGGGCCACTCCAAGGACAGGCTCAGCATCGATGCATGTCGGGCTCTCGCCAACATGCTTCTCGTCCCCGCGTGCCTCACCTCGAAGCGCGATCGGATCTCTTTCAAGGCCTCCGGCAGCATGACCGCGTCGCCCTTGAAGGCTGTGCAGGCAGACAGGGGCACTTGGTCGGTATTCCATGGAGATTGCACATTATTTAATTTAAGTCTACAGTCAACCCACCTCTGTGGCATGATTGGAGCAATCGTTTGTAGAGCTGGAGGCTTGTGGGGTTGCTCATGGTGCCCTCGCGTGCGTGTCGCGACTGCCTGTACTTGATCGTGAGGATATTCAAAGATTTATTGTTTGTGTTGGTTGAATGGTCTCAGGTGTCCAAAGTTTGATTTCATGCAACGAGCTTATATGGTGGGATGCATGTGTTGGCCTTGGATATCGGGCGCGCCTTGTCGAGGTCACTGTCGCTGGGAAAGATCCTTCGTTACAGAAGTCCAACCGATTGCATCATGGCAACACTCTCAACAGGGGTGGCTCCGGACTGATGCCCAATAAGGCACCAGGAGGTCCAGATTACAGAAGGGGAGTACTCGGTTCTAGCACAGTGGGTACTAGCACGATGGGATTGCTTTCAGAGGGTCGGAGGTAAGTGGTGGCAGGTGGCCTTGCGGATCCCACATGGGCGGGTGTTCTTGCCTCGCTGTGCACTGACTCCTCACTTTCCATTTGCCTGTGAAGGAGGAACAGAACATGGTCCGTCACACCCATGCAATGACAGCCTGTTGCCCGCGACACAGCCCACATGCATGCCCACACTTGCACCATGGCACCACCTACGGTTGCAATAGCTTGCGAGGTGGCACTGGCATTCCCCCCGTTGGACTGCGAGTTTTAGAGGTATGGAGTGCGTGGGGAGTATGGACGCACGGCATCGGATCTGGAGCGCCGCCTGCGATGCTGCTCTCCCTCGTAAGCGTTTCGCAAGCAGGCCTCGAATGAAGTCGGGTCACCCCATGCTCCCCAGGCCCTTCCGCCGGCACTTCCCATCCTCCTCATACCTGAGCATTGGCGTTGGCACTGGCGTTGGCCGATGCGTTCGCAGGGACTGCACAGGTGGGGATCTGCACGCCGGCGGAAGTGGCGGCCTGGGCCACGGCCTGGGCGAAGGCAGCGGCATTGGCGTTGCCGCCACCGGCGGCGTTGGCAGAGGCGGAGGCGGAGGCCGAGGCCAGGGCGGCCTGCACGTTGCCGCAGCACTGGTTGGCGGCCTGGGCAATGGCCTGGGCCGCAGCCTGGGCGGTGGCTCCTGACGCCCCACCATTGGCATCGCTGATGTGTCGCAGGGAGGTAAGGTGGGGGGGTAAGCATGCAATTTCTATGGTCATGTGAGTACAGGTGCAAGAGCTGGTGGACTTGCCGGCGCTTGGCATGCGCCGGTTGGGACTGCTGAAACCTGGCATTGAGTTCAGAAGTCATACAAAAAGAGAACATGGCATACCACCCCATCGTGCAACATTCCCCTCCCAATGACTCACGCAAATGCAGAGGCGACGGCGGTCGCAGCTGCTTGAGGGTTGCTGCACAGACTCTCAGCTAGGGCCTGCAGAAAGTAGAATGGGGAAGAGGAAGGCTGAGCTGATCCAGGATACTAACCTTGCCACAACGAAACATATGTTCTATGTATGACTCATCCTCTCAATGACCCTCGCAAACAACAGACAATCCCCAACATGGCACCCCGATCGTCAGCATGGCGCACCTGCGCAAAGGCGGAGGCAGAAGCAGTAGCACCACTGCCCCCAGTCGCGGAAGCCTGGGCCACAGCCTGGGCTACAGAGGCGCCCTTCCCCTGGGCGATCGCCTCGGCCAGGGCCTGCGCCGTGGCCTGTCCATCTGCGCCATTATGATTAAAAGGTATTTGTAAACGATTGAGGGCCAAAGTGCACCTTGGGGTCATTCCTGTAATTGGATCGACCCGAATCCGCGACATGGGGACGACGGGCGTCGAGCAACGAGGCATGGAAGCTAGCATACCCTGCGGCCGTTGGAAAAGCCATCGCATCCGACGGAACCTCATAGACGCATGACTCACTTCCGCTGGACTGCGCCTGCGCAGAGGCCTGGGCAAGGGCCTGTCCATTGCCCGACGCGACGGCCGAAGATGTAGCTGACGCGGTGGCGTCAGCCAGGAGCTTCCGGGAGTGCCCTGCGAGTGATCACAGGTCGACCACATTACTGGAGCGCTACATTTTCACCTACGACCAGTTCGCCATCCCAGTGCAGCCTGTGTCGTTACTTAAATGCGGAGCGCTCACCTTCAACTGCGGCAGCCGACACCAGTGCCAAGAGCAGGATGAAAGTGAGCTTCACCATGATGGAATGCAGTGTGGGTTTGATGTAATTGTGTGAACTGAACTGAAAAGATCCCGTCCAATGGTTCGCAATGAGTATTAGTATGGGGCCATCTCGGAACACGCCTCTTCAATCTCTGTCCTAGGTTCCAGTAGGTCATGTCAATTTGCCACGCTGCAGGAGGCCTCGGATCTGCGCGTATCTTCATCCCTCGATCGGCCATGTCAGCTCGCACCCCGAACTCTACACCTTTCAGCCAGCATATAATGTCTTTTGACATATTCAAATGGCGTGTCATGCTCGGCTGGTGGGCCATCGGTAATGATTATGGCAGTCGCATTTGCCCACGTGGTAGAGGGGAGCCGAGCGGAAGCATTGCGGCAGGTTTCATACCAGCCCAGAAACCCGGCCGGCACCAAGGGCTCCGAAGCATGATTCTCGGTATCATGAACATTTCGAGGCGTCCATTACAGCATGCAGATGCCCGCGTCGCTGATGTCAAAGTAGTGCCTTCCGGAACAAGCGGGCATGTCCCACGTGGCAACAAAGAGAGGGCCGGCGACCTTGGCCGGGGCCGCGGGTGCCAGGAGCAGGCGGTGCGTGACGCTGTCCTGCCATGCGCGGGGCATGAACTCGCGGTGCCCCAGAGCTCCACCCTCTGCGCTCGTACTGCGGTCCTGCTGGGGCCCTGAGCAGGGGTGGAGAGAGGTATCGGCTGTGCGCTGGCCATGGGCAGAATTTGATCTGAACACGATAGTGCATGCCCTACAACAATCAGCCAGTCGCCCAGTGCATCCCGTTTCATATTAAATGGAAGATCCTGCCAGAATGGCGTTGCATGCAGTCATCTGCGCCCCACAAAAGCCTTACCAAAGAGGCTGAGCTTGCTTGCGACCACGACCGCCTGCTTGGCGCAGGCAAGGTCGCGCAGCGTGCCCAGCGCACGAGCATGCATGGAGGCCCCCTGCTCGCCCGCTGCCGCACCGGCTGCGCGCTCAAGGTGGAAGAACGCCGCTACGTTGTCGACGAGTAGGCAGGGGGTGCCAGGCCAGGAGGCCATGAGCTCCCCCGCCGACTGCAAGCCATCCAGAAATGCAGCCGGGGAGGGGCAGTGCATCTGGGCAGGGAGCAGAGGTTGATTCGTGGGGGAACAGCTGGTGCACGCGTGATCATGCACACGGCGCAGTGGTCCCAAGGCGCGCAACTCCACCAACTTCCACGCATCTCCAGGCACGCCGGCAGCACCGCTCACCACATGCAGCCGAGACAAGGCATGGCCCACTTCCTTGTCCATATGCGCGTCGCTGTGCACGATCGGAGGGAGATGTGTACTGGGGACCGAACATCGAATGCTCACACAAGGGAGTTCCTGTGCTCGCGCCCAGGCAGCGAGACTGAGTGTGGACCAAGACATGTATTGGAAATCAAGCATGGCATCCAAGAGGGACATGCTGCTCACCTCAGAACCAAGCCTTGAGCTCCCTTGAGGCTTGCATGTAGTTGCTGTGAGTTGGTGAGGCCGAGGGCGCGGCTCAGGAGATGCTGAGAAAAGGTGCCAACCAGTCTCTACGAGGAGCAATGGGGCATGCACTGTGTCAGGTCAACACTCCCTCTCGACCCTCCCCATGACAGACCTGCAGCACCCTCAAGACGTCAAACTTCCCATCCAGATCCATGAAGAGGATGTTGCCTGTTGCAGGGACTTGGGTGACGAACCATCTGGGCAGTCTTGGAGCAATTCATGGCAGACGCGCCAGATACGAGGCAAAGGTCGGATCAATTTCCATGCTGGGAGAGGGTGGGGGTTGAAAGCTCTTTATTCCGGACTGAGGCAGCATCTCACCTTCTTCCCCGCCCACAGACCTCCCAAGGATGCAGTGCACGGCTATCTGCAGGGGAGCAAGTGCGCATCACCAACGTGGGTGTCTGTACGAAATTTCAATGAGATTCTGTTGCAAGGACACACTCGCCCCCAGCTCCAAACCCCATATACTGATACACCGTCGCCAAGCATCTCCATAGCGGATATTAAGTATACCTGGACCAGGAGGTCTGTCTTGCCGCTCCCTGAAGGCCCTGCCACCTCCACAACATGTCCTGGCCTCAGAGGGAGGGGACAGAGCCTGTCCAGCAGGGGAGTACCTGTGATGAGTGGCTCCAGGCGCACTCGACCCAGGAACGCCGCTGCAGTCTCCGATGGGGCCAGCCAGGTCACCCATTGGTGCAGGAGCTCGTGCTGGCTCATGAACCGCTCATGCTAGCCTTCGCTCCAGACATGACTTGCATCCGCATGCCGTGCATCGGGAAATCAATGCACAGTGAAGATCGTTGTAAGGCTACAAATATCTCCGAGAAAGAGCGTGAATGGTCAGAGCAGTAGTGATCACGGCACACAGAGGCAGCGATCAGGTCCCTCCAGCCTTGCCAGCAGGTTGCTATCTGTTGTTTTGATTATTAGAGCAATGCTTTCTATTTTGGGGATCGGCAGAGCAGTCAGGGCCGGTGCAGGAGGGTCCTGAATTTATTTCCGGCTGTCAGTCCACCCATAATCGTACACGAGTCTGGCTGTTCTCCCCGTGCAACTTGTCGAAAATCGCAACACGCCCTCTTCATACCTTTCTCGGCCTTTTGGCTAAGATCAAGTGTAGTATCTGTTCTTACTAGTCTAACAGCTAGTATCTTGTCCATTGGACAAGACATTTGTTAGATATATTTTTCTTGGCGTGTCGCCACCAGCCTAGTTCACTAGGTCGGCTTCACAGGCATCGCCTAGGCCTTTCACTCCCGCCTTGGTGGTGCAGCCTCAACCCCCCCCCTCCACCCAGTACCCAACTCTCCTCACCCATCACGACACAATCTGTCCCATGCGTTACAGCACTGTGCATATATACTCTGGCCAGCCCAACAGAAGCAATGAGGGGTGAAGGGGATCGCCGCCCACTACTGAGCCAGCTTCACGCTGCTGCCCACAAACCTCGCCTCGGAGGCCACCTTGCGCATGGCCCCCGACAGCCGCGGCTGCGGCGCCATGCTGGGCGCAAACACGGCCCTGAACCCCTCTGCGGAAGCGGATAAGGGGTGGAGTGGGTGCGTGACTGCGCGCAAGGCAGCGCACTCCCTCCCCTCGTGCGCACCCCTCCTCGCCGCACCGTACCTCCCGTGACACGCG